TATTAGTTTTTTTCATCGGGACAACTTCAGGTTGAAACTTTCTTCTCTGTGTCCTTCAGCATAACTGCTGACTTCCACAGGTGAAGGTGGTGGTACCTTCTTTCTAAGAGAAGCATCCTTTCTAAGAGAAGGATTGACTCTTATTTTGGGATTTTTTAATGTGTTAAATGTGGATATCTTATTATGGAATTTTTTTTAGAAAATATGTTGTTCTCCACCGTTCATTTATTTGAAGTGATCCCTTTTCTTTCTCTTTTTCCATCTTTTAAAATATGATTAAAGCAATATAGACAACTCTCCAGTGAAATTCTGTATGTAACCTTAAAATACACTGGGCACTACTGCCATGGAAATATTAATGTTGGGAGTAAAGTCTCCTGGGAATGCAGTTCTTCTGTTGAAATTCTTAGGGGCTCTGAACAGCAATTTATGATGTAAATATTGCTAGAAAATACCTGTGCTGAGAGACTGTGAGAGGGTAAGTTTTGCCCTGGGCAGGCTGTTGGACTATGTAGATGGAACTCTGCTTGGGTTCACTGGACTGGAAGTTGATCTCACCTTCCTCTCCTTTCTGAGACTCCTTGATGCAGTAATCCTTAAAACTCAAGGGAGAATCCCTTCTCAAGGTGTGCATTGCTGTCTGTTCCCTCTGCTCTGTCCCTCTCCTGCAGACATTCCATGGGTGTGTGCAGCATTCAGTGCAGTCCCCACCGAGAGAACCTCCTGGCCACGGGCAGGTGAGTCCCTTCCAGGTGCTCTTCCCTGGTGTGACCAACCTCCTCTGTTACCTGAACACGCTGCTGCCTCTGCAGAAATCCCCTGTGATCTCTCCTGACCTTCTGTGCTTGTTGCCCCAAATCCTCTGTGTTGCTGTTTGTGGTGTCTCCAGCTACGACGAGCACGTGCTGCTGTGGGACAGCAGGAACATGAAGCAGCCCCTGGCTGACACCCACGTGGAAGGAGGGGTGTGGAGGCTGAAGTGGCACCCCACGCGGGATTTCGTGCTGCTGGCAGCCTGCATGCAGAGTGGATTCAAGATCCTGGACTGCCGGGGGAGCCTGGGTGAGTGTGCAGGGAGCAGAGACGCTCCTGGGCTGCCCTGCTGCTCTCCTGCCCTGCCTCCAGGTTCATGGGGGAGCTCCAGCTCTGACTTTCTAGAAGCATCTAGGTGATATCCATAGACTTTTGTTCCAGCTTTCCCAGCTCTGTCCTCCCTGCTGGCCTGGCTGGGTTGTGCAAAGGCCCTGTCACTGTTCATATGTAAATCCCTCATAATTCCTTTTCACGGGTTGGTTTTGGTGAGATGAGCTCAGCTGGTCAGAGCATGGCGCCAATAACATCAAGGTTTGATCCCTGTGTGGGCCATTCCCTTGAGAGTTGGACTTGATGGTCCTTGTGGGTCCCTTCAACTCAGAATATTCTGTGGTTCTGTGATTACCTGTTGACACAACCACTCCAGTTTGTGTTCGTTGTGAGGGTTCACAGAGGTTCTTCTGAATGTCAGGTGGTGCTTTCTTGTCAGCAGGAGTCACTGCCCTGCTGGGGAACTGGTTACTGCCTCAGGAAGGAGGTGCTGAGCAGCCTGGTTGATCCAGAATAACGTGAATAAGCCCTTTGTGTGAACCGGGAGGCGTTTCCCTGATGAAAAAGCTGTTTGCATTCACATTACAAATGCAGTTCTTACAGCCTTCTTGGGTTTCTTCAGACCTTGGGCAGCTTAGGAAATGAGGATAATATTTCTCCTGTATAGGGAAGGCAGGAACTTGATGTCCAGTTACTGTCAGTTAAATGCTGACAGCTCATGGGAGGAACGTCTGCAATGAATTAATAACCAGGACCTGGCTTGGAAATCTCCCAGGTGTGTTCCTGGCTCAGTGGAGACCATGGTGTGATCAGTCCTGTCTGTCTTGAGCCTTTGTGGGTATTTTGGATAATGAGGCTGTTAAAGCTCATGCATGTTAAACCCTCTTCTGCTACTGACCCAGGGAGAATCCAAGCCTTTGAGAGGTGGCTGAGTCAGTACCTCCTTCCTCCTGGAACGCTTCACCCTGTGGTGAAGGCGGCAATAATCAGAGAACTCTTCCTGTGGGACACAGCCAGTACTGGGATGGCTGCTGAGCAGCCACAAACCACAGCTGGATTTTTGCTCATTTCATGGTTTTATTTTCTTTTTTAAAGCGGAGAACACAGAGGAGTGTGTCATCCTGTCATCCTACGTCCTGCACAATTCCCTGGCCTACGGGGCTGACTGGTCCAGGCTGTGTCCCAGGGATTCCTTGCCTGCAGCACAGGACCCTGCTGCCATGTGCCAGCCTTCAGAGGAGCTCCCGGGAGCAGAGGAAGGAGACGAGAGGCTGAATTTGCAGGTCCAAAACCTGAAGATAATTTATGAATCTCCTACAGCTACTTTTGATGTGATCCTGGATGAGGAGAGTGAAGGCCCTGCCGTGCCCTTCGGAGTGGGGGCAGCTCCCAGGCTGGGTGGGGATCCTGGCCTGGTCAGGGGCTCTGCCTTAAAGGGAAGTTTAGACCTGGCTGGAGGCCCAGATCCCAGCTCAGCCAGTGGCTCTGAGTCTGGAGCCAGGAGCCCCAATGGAACAGGCCTGGACAGCAGTGGGGGCTCGGCCAGGTCCCCAGACAGCCCCAAAGAGACGAGCATCGTGGCCACTTGCTCCTTCTACGACAACATCCTCCATGTCTGGAGGTGGGAGATGAGCCTGGGGACCACTCCTGACGTGCCAAGTCCTGGATCTCCATCCAAAAGAACAGCTGAAAGTTTGCACTGACCAGTCCCAAGGGAGAGGGGCAGGAAAACTCCTGAACTGAGAGTGACAGCTGAACTTATCACCCTGCCTAACTCCTGCTGGGCCTTCCCAGTTTTATTGCTGAGCTTGGGAGTCCTTCAAGGCCCACACTGATGGAATTCCCGGTGTTTTATTTTCAGCACAGGGGAAACCCTTTGCTTAGAGGCCTGTGGTCAAGCACAGACAGCTTTATTTAGTTTTTCCCTTAATGTCCTGGTTCCAGGTGGGACAGCCCTCCTCTCACAGGCTTTGTACCTCAGATTTGGATCCTTTCAAGGCTGGTTTGCATTTCACATTGATCTGTTAAGCCTGTTCTCCTCCTTCCATCACAAACCAGACTGTGCTGCTACGAGTAAACCCAGCATGTGATCAGAAGGTTCCCTGAATGTCTTGGAAGAGCCCCTGAGCAGAGGCTGATGTGTAAACCAGTCCCTTGAGAAGAGCTCAGGCAGGCCAGGCACAGTGCAGTGTGCTTGGAGAGATTTTTAACAGCCATTCTGGTTCAGGAGGAGGTGCAGATGGAAGTGTTGTGGTGAGCAGGGCCTTTCTTGTGAGGGTCCTGCTGCACCTCCATCATTTCCCATCACTCCTCCCCTGATGGCAGTTTCCCTCATCCCTCCCAGGTGAGCACAGCCTGGTTTAGATAAACCCTGTAGTGACCCTGCCATCGTTTAGTGCCACTCAACTGCCCCCCACAGCCTCTTGTATCCAGCTCATGTTTTCTGCTCTCCACATTTAAGTCCAAAGTCAAGATCTTTCAGTTTTTTAAAGGTGAACAGCTTTAAGATCAAAACCTCCACAAAGTTTAAGTGGTTTTTCCTGACATCTTTTTAAGTTCAAAATATGTACAGAAACCAAAACCTGAACAGCATTGCCCAAACTACCTCCAGGAATGGCTGCAGGATTTCTCATGGTTGCTCCATTAGCTTTCTTTCTTCACTGTGAAGTATCAGCAAAACACCCTTTCTGGAGCATTTTATCTATCCCTAGAAACAAAAAACCAGCTTAAACTAGGTAACTAAGTCTTAGCTTGGGTGGTTTGTCTTTGAATGTCCTAAAGGATGAGTTGTCTGGGGGGAAAGAAACACCAGCAACAGATCTCTGTGTAACAGTGCTGCATCCAAATGAGATCCAGATGAGAACTTGACTGCTCTGAGACCCCCTGCTCAGGGGTGAGTGTGTATTTTAGAAAAACACTGAGCACTGTTACATGAGGATTCATATTAGTACTGCAAACAAGAGCTTTTCTTAAAAAAAAAACAAAACAGAACATGCTATTTTTGGATGTTTCTAAAATAAAGCCAATATAAGTGATTTATTTTTCTTGGTTGTTTTGAGGTTTAAAAATCAAAGGAACTTGGCTCAGGCTCGGAGGGCACTTGGTGAATGTTCTTTGGGAGTCAGAGCGGACAAGCCGGTTTCCTGGGAACATCCAGGGTGTGTCCTTGTAGCTCTGTTTTAAAGCTTGTAACGCTTTTTATTGGCCTGTGAGATGGAGAGGAAACAGCCTGAGGGCAGCAAAGCTGGAGTGCTGTCACTGGGATCAGACTGGGGCACTGGTTTAGGCTTTAGGCCAGTCCTTGCTTTGCTCAGAATAAAGAGGAGACTCCAGCTACAATCTGCCTTCACATGGGGTGTGGGGGCAGCGACGTGGTGAAGACCAAGCTGGAACTGGTGTGAAAGGGCACAGGATCTGCTGCTCCCCAGCTTTGCATTGCCCCAATCTCCAGCCCCTCCACCTGCAAAGTGTCCTGGCTGGAAAGTCTCTGAAAGGAAGAGCTGAGGTGCTGCACCCAAAGCTGAAGGCAGAAAACCACCCCTTGTGTATAACTTTTACTCTGATGAGCTTCACAGGAAGTGAAAAATGCAGAGTTTAACTGGAGTTAGAAAAGCTGTGCCTTCCCTTCCCCCACTGTGGGTGATCCTGCACCCTGTGCCCCTGCGCTCACTTGTGTGGGGATTTGGGGCTGCAGGACTCGGATCTGGGAGCCAGAGCACCACCAACCCCTCCTGGCCCTCCCCAGCCCCAAAAATATGGGCGTTTGCAGACACCACCTTCAGGACTCAGACTGGATGCTCAGAGCACACACTGAACATGCTTCCCGTCTCCCAGAGCGAACGTTTTCATCCTTAATTTAACTCTTAAGAGTTTAATTCTTAAACTTTGCAGTACTTTGTCTTTAGAAACCTCACGGGCCCCTCACCCCAAGAACCTCCAGGGAGGGCTGTGCTCTCCAGGCACAACTGTGTGGAATGAACGGCCAGTTTCCCCCAGGATTTAAATCACACATTGCAGAGGGACAAGGTGGAAGGATCTGCTTTAATGTCCGGTGCCAGAGCCAGTCCCGCGAGTGCCGGTCGTGCCTCGCCCCCGCCGAGGGCGCTGCTCGTTCCCTACCGCGCGTAGTTCTTGGGGAAGAGCTGGAAGAGCTTCCCCTCCTGTGTGGGCTCGAAGCCGTACTTCTCCAGGTTGTCTGGGTCGAACGTGCCGTCCTTCACGTCCTTCTCGATGCGCGGAGCCACCAGCTCGTCGAAGAGCTGCTTGGCCGTGGCGGGCGTCTCGGAGCCCTCGGGGGCGCGGTACGACACATAGGGCCGCAGCTTGAAGCCCGTCAGGTCGGGCACTACGAACTCGGGCACCATCTCCTTGACAAGGAGGAACTTCTTGTTGCTGGTGAGCACGCCCAGCTTCTTGGCGCCGCGGCCCTTGTTGAAGCTCCGCGGGCCGCGCTTGCTGGTGAACGGAGACAGGCGGTCAGCGCCGCGCACCAGCCCGCGGGCCAGCTGGGACAGCAGCCCCATGGCGGGCACCGAGGGCTCAGCGAAGACGGAGCTGGTCAATGAGAACAAGGCCGCTCCCTGAGGGCACTCGGTGGCTCAGGGGAGCCAGAGCCGCTCCCTGAGGGTAGCGGGGACTCAGCGCGGCCGGTCCCTCAGGCTCTCCCGAGCCGGGCCGATACCTGAGGGCACCGAGGGCTCCCCGGGCCGGGCCGA